TGGTGAATGCATTGACCGATACATCTATATACGGTATAATACGATAGGGTTATTACGTCTTACATTAATGATATAATATGACTGGAGTCTCGTATTTAAGTTTGAGAAAAAAGTAAAATAACAGATATTTATCTTGTTTAATACTTAGAGGTAAGATAATAATATTAAAAATAGCCAAGAAGTTTTCTTCCTTTAAATGTTTATGAAATTGAGCATATATCCAGATTCTTCGGAATATTATGAGATCCTTGTATTTAGTGTGGAAAAGAAAATGAGAAATTATTATTATTATTTATTTATTTTAAGTTGAAAAGCAAATGGAAATATTTCACTGATTAAATGTCGAATGTTTGATACACATTTATTTGGTTTATTAAAATTAATAAAAACAATTCTATCTCCAAAAATATTTGATTAAAAACAATAAAAACAAAATCAAGTGTGTTCTTTTTTTTATTTTATTTTATTCTATATTATTCTTGAAAACTAATAGAAATTAAAATCAAAAGATAAAAAACATTAAACAAATGCTAAAGAAAAATATGATACAATTGAAAAAATGATAACTGTTCAAAAAATTCTTCAAGAAGAAAAGCAATATATTGAAGAACAAATTGATATTACAACTGATCTAGACAACAAATAACATAACTTAAATTCAATTTTACATTAAATTATTTGTGTATTCATTTTAGATTGATATTATTTTGTTATGTGCATTACTAGATTTAATTTATCATACAGAGGAATTGTTACATATTTTATTTGAAATAATTGAAGCATCAGCAAATATAAAAACTTATGGTATTGAATCAAATGATTCAATAGAAGGGTATGTTATATCTATACTACTCACCCATATATCATCAGGATGTTACTGATTTTTATATACAATCTCATTATCAATATATTATTTTAGAAGAAAATAAATCAAATGATTTAATTACATTTGATTTATCTTCATTTAACTATGAAAGGAAGACTGAAGAACAATATTCATTTGTTAAAGGTCTAATTCAAAACTAAAATTTTCTTTTTCTTTGTAAATATTTTCAACTTATATTATCATCATTAACTAATTCATTCCAAACAAATCAACAACAACAAAAAGATAAAGATACATCTTGTGATGAACCAAGCTTTCTTTCATCGATTTTACAAAAATATGGTGAACATACAATTGAATGTAAAACGGATTTTACATTAAATGCTCTACAAATACCTCTTCCAATGAATTTATATTCAAATAAAAATATTTTAATTGATATGGGAAAATTACAAATGAATACAGATTCAAATGATAACAGAAATTCTTCATCTATTATACAACATCGACTTATATTTGATAGATTTTCGGTGAGTCGTTTTATTTAAAATAATAAAAATGAATTCATTAATAAAATAATTTTGTTAGGATATTTATCATTTGTACTATCGATTAATCGTCCTTTAAATTCACAAAATGATTACAGTGGAATTAATAATTATGCATTTTATTAATCAAATTTTTAATGAAAATGTTTTTTATCAACTTCCAAAAATTCATAATACTCAAGAAGAAGAAGGAGAACAAATTGAAATTAAATATATAAAATCATCAAAATATATTTCTCAAAAAATAAGATTTACAAGAAGATACGAATGTTTATTAAAAACTTGGTTTAGTTTTCAACGAAAACAAATTCATTGAAGACTTTATCATTCTCAAAGAGATCTTTACAATAATTGTACAACTCGAGATGAAAACTCTAAATTTCTTTATTTAATAATTGAATTAATTGAAATAAATTTTAATTTATTATTAAATTCAACATTTATTATTACATGATGTTCGAAAAAAACAATTTCGAGTTTTATTAACAAACACTAATGTTCAATAAAATACATCAATATTTAACACGAATCTTCAATTTAACAAATGTAATAAAATAAGGTAGAGATTTTTTATTTTAAGATATTTTTAATAATTTTATCGATTTATTTTCCATTAGATTCATCTAAATATTCTATTTCATCTGACATAAAAATAAGAACTGAATTTATTTTCAGTCTTTCTCAAACTATTTTACTTCAAGATCAAAATAAAACTAGTTCTGATTATTTTGTATTTAATGTAAGTTAAATTATCTAGTAAAAATAATTTAAATAAATATACGTATATTTATATACTTAATAGTTAGTGTTTTCAATACATATGGTTAATGTGAATGGTGAAACAAAAACTTCCTCTTCGATAAAAGGTTGAAGTTTTTATGGAACTCATTTTCAAGATTTCAAACAATGAAAAATTTGCTATTCAGTAATTTATTTTATTTATGTAAAGTTTTTTTCTTTAATTAAGAGCATAGGTATTATTTTCATCACAAATAGATACCATTATTATGATCAGTTGTGATAATCAAAAACTTGATTTAAATATTGGAGATTTATCTAATAATATGCATTCAACTATTATGCAAACATTTATTAATTTTAATATCTCTATAAATAAAGAATAAGTTAAACATTTTAATTTAATTAGATATGCCATTTTTTTATTTTTTTTTTAGCAAAATCCGCTAGAAGAAAAAGAAAAAAACAGTTCAAAAAACAATATTTATTCCAAAACCATCCAAAGACTCAAGTTTTTTTTTATTTACAATCAAGGTACTTTAGTATATATTATTGATATTTAAGAATTATGTATAAAAATATGAATTACTTGATGAAACAGATATATTGGAAATAACTACAACAGACTCAAAATCAGCTAAAACAAATGCAATTGAACAAGAAGAAAAGAAAAGCAAATTTAAAAAAGACAAAATCTTTCTCAAGTTTGTTTTCTTATTTTTAAAGTATTTGATAGTTTGAGGGTGGGTGAAGTGGATGAGATAGACGTACTTTAGAGAGAAGTACAATACCTACCAACTCCTTACCCACACCCACCATGAAAGATGGTCTACAAGCGAACCAAAAAAGCCTAGAACAATATTGATGTGTTTTTCGTTGTTGAATCGAAATAGCTAAATATCTTCCACTTTGATGTCATGTTTCTAATATAATGTGTTCCTCAAATTTTTCATTTTAGATAAAAAAACTTAACAGTTTGCTTTAATTTCTGCATTGGGCAATTGAACCATCTTTAATAAGTTTAAATGACATCCTCCAACACCCTTCTAGAACCAATAGCTGTTATACGTATAGCATGTGAATTTGAAGGTGATATTCATTCACCAAATGATTTATGGCATATATTAAAAGAAAGTCGTGATATTGGTAGTGCAACACTAATTGATCGATTTGATCCTGAATCATTTACTGCTCATATGACTAATATGGATAATAATGAACAACTTCATCAAATACTTCTTCGTGATGGTTATTTTATGTCAAATCAACAATGGGATAAATCTAAACCAAATTGTTTTGGTTTTCTCAGATGCTGAACCAGCCAATATTGATCCATATCATAGATCACCTATATTAAAATTTATTGATTTACTTGATGGTGCTGGATATAGTGTTAAAAAAATGAGTGATACAAAAACGTCAGTACATATTGGATAATTTTCAACAGATCATGCAATTGCAGCAGCTCGTATGAGACCTGAACATCGAATCAAGATTTTATGGACCTAATAGTTTATTATATCATTTTAATTTACATGATCCAAATGTATCATCAGATGCTGCTTGTTCATCTTCTTGAGAAACTTTACATATGGCTGTGCAATGTCTCCGTACAAATGAAGGTGACATGGCTGTATGTGGTGGTGTTAATGGATTCTTACACTAGAAAGTTTTCTACAACATTCATTTATTGGTGCACAATCATCTGGTGGAAGAAGTCGATCATTTAGTGTTGATGCTAATAGTTATGCTAAAGGTAAATTCAGTTGATTAGTTTTTTTATTTAGAAATACATTTCAATTTAAATATTGTGTCTAGATGATGGTCTTGCTCTTTTATTATTAAAACAATTAAGTGATGCTGAACGTGATGGCGATCCAATTGAAGCTAATTGTTTAGATCGATTCTTTAATCGATCAAATCTTGATCCACCATTATTATTAGATTCAATTAAAAGTAATTTAGGACATACTGAAGGTGCAGCCGGTGTTATATCGCTTATTAAAGTTGCTATGTATATGTATTATCGTGGTATTACAGTAAATATGCAATTTACTTCACTTAATCCAAAAATAGAAACACAAAAATATAATCTACATATTCTTCAAAATTTTATACCATTTCCATCCGTTTCAAATAATGACAAAATAGCTATTGGTGTTAATTCATTCGAAACGGTTGGTTCAACGACACATTCTATTACTGAAGAATATCAACCAATAAATAAAACATCAATTGAAAATGGTCATATCGATGATGAAAATCATATTAAAAACAAACAATATTTTATTTTTATTTTTTCAAGTAAGTTCTTTTTTCTTTTCATTCATTAAATAATTTGTTTCTCTTATTCAGTAAAAAGTCGTCAATATCTTAATAATCAATTAATGATATAAATTATAATGATGATCAAGCTTTTCTTCAACATATATCTCAACAACTTCTTCTTAAAAGAACTATTAGTTATACACATTTAGCAATCTTGATTTTTCTCAGTCATCAACAATTACAAGAACAAATCAATGCTTTTCTTACTAAAAAAGCATTACCAGATCTCACAATCATCACGTCCAACAAAATCATTAGCACAGAAAATATGTTTTGTTTTTAGTGGACAAGGTCCACCATGGTGGTCTATGGGTAAACAATTATATGAAAATGAACCTTTATTTAATAAATAGATTAATTTAACTGATGAAGAAATGACAAAAACTAATAATGGTGAATGGAGATTATTCGAAGAGTTAATTGAAAAGAAAAATGAACAAGAATCTCGTATTAATGATACAAATATTGCTCAACCAACAATATTTGCTATACAAGTTGCATTAACAGCTTTACTTGTTTCATGGAATATTTATCCATCATCTATAATATCACATAGTGCTGGTGATCAAGCAGCTGCTTTTGTTGTTGGTCGATTAACTTTAGAAGAAACTGTTCATATGTTAGCTCTTTCAATGAGTGAAGAAGAAGTAGAAAATAAACTTCTGAAAGGTATTGAACATTTGGCTTGTATTGCTGTTGTTAATAGTCCTCGTCGAGTAACAATAAATGTTGATGAAAAAACAATTGATGAAATACAACAAGTTCTTTCCATATCTTATCCTAATGTATTCAAAGCATGTGTTCGTATTGAAAATGCATTTCATTCATATCCAATGAATCGATTTGATATTGAAAAAGAAATGCTTTCATCCTTGAAAGATATTCGAGGACTTCCAATACAAGATCAAAAGCAAAACTTTATTCAAGTATTACTGATGATAAAATGAATGATAATATACCAGTTGATAGTCAAATGTGAGACAAACTGTTCGATAATATGATACTATAACATTAATTATAAAAGATAAAACAGCAAATGTTTTTCTTGAAATTTCACCACATCTAGTTTTAGGTACATCTATTCGTGAATGTTATGAATTAACAAATCAACAACAATCATCACCACCACTTATTCTTCCAACATTAAAACGAAAAGAAAATGAACAAATAACATTTCTTACTAGTTTAGCACAACTTACAACATCATCTCAAGTATGACAACAATATTTTCATACTCGTCAAATTTTACCTGTGAAAAATCATGAAGAATATTTTGATAATTTTTCATTATATAAATTTCATTTGAGTCCATGTTGGTATGAATCAAAAGATTCATCTATACAACGTTTAGCTAACCGCATATCTACTCATCCATCACTTGGCATTCGTCAATTAAATGAACAAACGAGTGCAACATGGAAAAGCCTTATTAATATTAATTTACAACAAGATGCTTTTTTAAGAGATCATAAAATTCAAGATGCAATTCTTTTTCCAGCAGTTGCTTATCTTGAACTTGCAACAGCTGCTTGTCATCAATTACTTTCATCGAAAGAAGATGATCAACAACAACTAACACTTATTTTTGAAGATGTTAAATTTGTTAAAGCACTTATTCTTAATAAACATGTATTAGTTGAAGTATTTATACAAATAATTATGCCAATGCGTGAATGGTATATTATATTTTGTAATCAAAATAATCTTAATAAATATTCATTAAATAAATTTACTTTACATGCTCAAGGTAAAATTGAAATAGATTATAAACAACAAAAATCATTAACAATACTTGATAGATGGACAATACAAGATATACCAAGTGCTTATGCACATCTTTCAACATGAGATTATCAATATGGATCTAGTTTTGAAAACCTAAAAACATTACGTGGTACTTCAACTACAATTATATCTCAATTATCAAATGATAATAATAATTGTTCATCTTATTATTTACTGCATCCATATCTAGTTCTATTACCAGGTGTTGAAACAACATTTCTTCCAGTACGTATTCTAAAATTTATATATTCAAATAAAATAAAAACAAAAATGAATCAATCAACAAATATTAAAGTACGTGGAAATTATCATGATAATATATGTGGTACAAGTCAAGAAGAAATATATAATCTTGATTTATGGATGTTTCCAATGGATAATAAAATAGAAGAATCAATATTTACATTTGAATGTATTATTATTCAAGAAGTTCAACGTGTAAAATCTAGTCGATGGTCAATGAAAAAAACCATTTATGACAAATTAAATATACAAACTGATTTACCTAATACTGATCATAAAACATATTTAAATACCATTGTAAAAGATTATTGTATGAAAAGAGTATCGATTGATTCACCAATAACAAAAGATATATCACATTTACTTCCATCACCTAATCAAATTCTTAATAATGAACTTAATTCTAATAGTAATCAAGATTTAATTGAATCAGTCGAACCATTTAATGAATTAGCTGCTTATTATGCTCAAATGGCAATTAAAGATCTTGATTTAAATCAACAATATCATCCATTATTAAATGCATGTCATTCTCTTGCTTCAACTTTACATTCGGAATAAGTAACATGGCATTCAGCACAACTTCGTCTTATTCAATTATTCGAACGTTTTCCTCGTTTAAAACCATTTTTAATAATATTAAATAAACATGGTTTACATTTAAAAGATATTCTTAGTCGAGAAAAAACTGGATTAGATATATTTGTTGATGATGAGGAAATTGGAGAAACTTTTCAACAAATTAAAACTCTTGTAAGTGCAACTAAAACACAACAAATTTTTAATACGATTTGTCAACATTTACAATTACAATATGAACAACAAATTAAAGACAATTCATTTGAAAATTATCGATTATGTATATTTTGGTTAAGTGATAGTTATTGTTCAGATGTTTCACCAATTCTTGATCTTTTTCTTAATTTATCAGAACAAACAGGTTTATTAATTGATTTACATTATGCAGATTCTGATCCAATACAACTTGCAAATGCTCAACAAACATTTAATACACATCTAACTAATCAAACAAATTTATCTATTATTTATGATGAAACAATTGATTTATATCATAGTAAAACACTTGAAAAAATACCAATAGAATCATTTGATATTATATTTTCTGCAAATCAACTTCTAGGAAATCAAGATTTAACAAATTCTTTAATAGATCTTCGTCGTTTACTTGTTCCTAATGGTCTCCTTTTATTACTTGAATTAGTTCATATTCCTCTTTATTTTCATCTTATTTTTGGTTTTTTTGATCAATGGTGGTCATCTGATGATAATAATAATCGTGCATTAAAGAATATTCAACCATGGACAACATTATTAAAACAAATCGAAGGATTTAATATTATTGAATCAACAACAAATCAAAATGAAAGTACATCAATTATTTGTCAAAAAACAATATCTAAGGAAATATTACAAAGACTTAATGAAAGAAAAAATCAAATATGGTTAATATTTAATAAAGAAGATAATAATAATAAAAATAATTTTAGTCATATTCTATCATCATTATTACCATGTTCAAATATCAAAATTTTTGATATTCATAATTCAACTCTAGATATGATTTGTTCTGTAATACCAGTTCTATTAACTACTTATAAACAAGCATCTATTATTCTTGCATGGCAACTTGATCAAGTATTATTTTATGAAAATAATGCTGATTTAGCATTTAAACAAAATGAAGAACTTATATGTGGAACATTATCACGTATTCTTCAAACAATTCAAAAATCATCACCATATTTTTATCCATTTGTATATATTCTTACAGATCATGCTCAATTTAATAATGATTCGAATCTTAATATAATTGCATCATCATTTATTGGGCTTGCACGAAGTTTAATAACTGAATATGAACGATATTGATTAAAATTTATTGATCTTCAAACGTCGTTAAATGATAATAATCAATCAACATTTATTCATACTTTAGTAGAATATATGATTAATTCAAGATATTCAACTGATACTTGTGAAGTTGTTCTTCGTTTTAATGATACAAATCAAAATCAAGTTCAACATTTAACATGGCATTATGAAATGTTACAAAATAATAATGAACAAGAGAAATCTAAATACGAACAAATTTCTATTATTCCTAAACGAGATACTGATCAAAAACCATTTCGTCTTTGTGTACCACAATCTCGTTTTCTTTCTGAATTAACATGGATTGAAGAAGATAGAGAAAAGGAATTATTACCAGGTATGGTAGAAGTTCGTGTTCATTGTGTTGGTATTAATTTTCGTGATGTACTTAAATCACGCGGTCTTTATCCACATACACGTATTTTTGCACAATCTGATGAAGATCAACCAAAACTTGATCGAGATACAGAACCAGGTTCAGATTTTGTTGGTACTATTGTACGTGTAGGTCCTAAAACAACTAGTTTTCAAGTTGGTGATCATGCTGTAGGTGTTACTGGTGATGGTACATATCATTCTCATATTATGATTAATTCTCAACTTATAATACGTATTCCACCTAATTTTCCTCTTTCTGATGAACAATTATGTGGTCTACCATGTCCAATTTTAACAGTTATATATTCTCTTAAATATCGTGTTCATTTACAATCTAATCAAACTGTTCTTATTCATGCTGCAACAGGTGCTGCAGGTCAAATGTGTATTCAATATTGTCAATATATTGGTGCTCGTGTTATTACTACAGCTGGAACTGAAGAAAAACGACGTTTCCTTCGTGAACATTATGGTATTGAACATGTATTCAATAGTCGAGATACTTCTTTTGCTAATAATATACGTCAAAATTTTCCACAAGGTGTTGATGTTATTGTTAATTCATCATCAGACAATTTACTCAAAGAATCAATTAAATTATTAGCATATCACGGTAACTTTGTTGAATGGAGTAAACGAGATATTTATCATAATAGCAATTTATCAATGTTTCAATTAAGATCAGATTTTATTTCACTTGCTGATCATGTATCACATTTACTCTTCTTATGTTGGAAGAAGCAATTGATTTACTGATTCAACGTAAATTACATGCTGTTGAACCAACAATTTGTTATGAACCATCTCAAATAATCGAAGCACTATTAAGATGTAATAGTGGTCAAGTTATGGCTAAAACAGTTTTTCGTATAACTTCATCTGATCAACCATTAACTATTAATAAAAAGCAATCTAATAGTTTATTAAAAGGTAGTTTTCTTTTTTTTTCTTTCAATTATCATTATTTTTTTTTAATCAATAGTTGTAAGTGATAATACAATGTTTCCATCAGAAGTTTGTAATCAAGGAACAGTTTTAATATCTGGTGGTTTTGGTGGTCTTGGTTTAACAATGTCTCGATGGATGATTGAACAACGAGGTGTTAAACATATAGCACTTATGAGTTGTCGAACATTAGTTGAACTTGAAAAACCTTCGAATCCACAATATGATGATTGGTTAAGATTAAAACGAACAACAAAAGAATTTAATGCTCATATCGATGTTGTTCAAGCAGATGTAACAAATTTTCAACAAGTTCATGATTTAATTGAAAGATTTCAAAAAACTTCTTATCCTATTCGTGGTATTATTCATAGTGCTGTTGTTGCAGAAGATCGTACTTTAAATAATTTAACACAAGAACATTTATCACTTGTTTTATCACCAAAAGTCCGTGGTGCATGGTATCTTCATCAAGCTACACAATTTCTTCATGCACCTATTCATTTTTTTATCATGTTTTCATCAATTCGAAATCATTTACTTGAAGTTGCATCTGCTGGTTATAATGCTGGTAATCAATTTCTTAATGCACTTGCTTATTATCATTTTACAAAACTTACTTTACCAGCACTGTCAATTAGTTTACCAGCTGTAAGTGATGCTGAAATGTTTCACCGTCAGAAAGAAATGCTCAGTACTTTGAAAGAGACACAAGGTTTTGAATTAATGCCAACAGTAACTGTATTCGAATTAATTGAATGTTTTCATCAAACTCAAAAGATTTGTCCATATTCTGTTATTTTTGCTGTTAATTGGCAAATATTACATCGAAATTATACAACATTAGCTACATCGTATTTAAGAAAACTAGTTGATCAACGTTATAAAGAAATGAGATTTGATCAGATATCATCAACATCATCAGAAAAAAATAATTCCACTGAGTCTAATATGAATAAAAAAGGAAACTATTATTGAACGAACTCAAACAGCTGTTGCACGATTATTAGCTTCAGCTAGTGTTGATCGTATAGGTATTGATCGTTCACTTGTTAATCAAAGTATGGATTCATTAGCTGCTGTTTCACTATATAATTGGTTAAGTCAAGAAACTGTTATTTATATACCACTAGTTGATCATCTTCAAGGACTTTCAATTGAAACAATTGCAACACTTGTTTATAGTAAACTTAATGAAAAAGAATAAACAACATCATCAAACATAAAAGAATATGATTCAGATTTTGATTTAATTAATGAAAATGAAGCTCAATATACTAATACATCAACATATACTGGTTTAGAAAATCTCATTTGTCTACATCGTTCGAATCAAAATAAAACTTCAACTCTTTTTTGTATTACTCAAATATCAAATGATAATAATAATGAAGATTTATTTACATTTTTTATTCAAAAATTATCTAATCAAAAAAATAAAATATCATCAAGTGATATGTATGCTTTACAAATATTATGATCTCTTTCTTCATCCTCTATATCTACATATGCTCAAATCTTATTACACAAATGCGTCGTATTCAATCATGTGGATCTTATCAAACAGTAGGTATTAGAAAGAAATCTGAAGAAACTATTGCTCATGAAATGTTAAAACGATTCAAAATACACTCACTCATTACTAATACGCAATTACATCTTTTAGATGCTCATAATTAAAACATATTCACAATTATTATTTAATCAAATATTTATTCTTATTTACTAAACCTATTTTATATATATCAATTATTATAGTATAGGAATATTTGTAGATTTCTTAACAATTAATACTAATAAATTTCTTCGATAAAATATTTTTTTGTGAAAATCTATAATAGTTAATTAACTCACTAACAATATTAAATTAACATATTTTTTATTATCTAATATAATATCATAGCTATACTCAATCAATTCTCTTGTTTCGTTCTGCAGTATTATTAGAAGATTGTACATTGGTTTATCGTACTTCTGATAATAATATCACTCTCATATGATGTGATCATATTCTTATTTCATATTTTGAAATATCTATTTAGTTTTTCTCATCTTCTTTTTAATTTGTAGATTTTATCAAGCTTCGTATTTTATTTTATTGATTTATTACTTTATTATACAATGCTTTCACGTGAGCGACTAGCAGCAGGAACAAATGCACACAAAGAACCACAATTCAAAACTTCAGGACGAACAGAAGGTGTTGCTTCATTTGTTCAACAACGAATTTGACTTCATGAACAACTTTATTTTCATTCTTCTGACCTGTCTGTTTACAATATTTTAATACCATTGATAGTCAAACAAGGTTCATTATCAATTAAACGTATTCGTTCAATTTTACTCACATTAATTGAACAGTATAATGTTCTTCATACTACTGTTCGTTTCAACCCGCGAAGTAATCAAATGGAACAATACATTCAGGCTGCTACCGATGAAATTTATTCATTTGAACATTCACGAAATATTAATACAGCAGAGCAACGTCATCAATTACTTGCCAAGGAATCTACAAAATAATTTTTCGATTTTGAAAAAGGAAAAGTCTTAAGATGCCATATAGTATAGTGATACGATAATAATAATGATCATGATTTATTATATGAAAATGGGATATAATTGTTATTAATTTTCATCATACTGCATTTGACAATAGTTCACTTATGCCATTTATAAAAGCATTTAAACAAATAGATTTGGCTAATGAGCAACAACCAATATTATCAGCTCCACAATATATTGATTTTGCATTATATGAACACGCATTGTTAGCTGATACAAATATAGATTCAAGAATGAATAAAGCACGTCCTTATTGGTCAAATCTTATGAATGGTTATGATTGGAATCGAATACAAGATTTAGTACCGCATGAAAATAAAACTGATCAAATTCGTTCTGATCGTGCTTATTCAACTGCATTTAGTTTTCATGAAAATATTGTTGATGCAAAGATTTCTTTTGCTTCATCAAATAATCTAACAATGTTTTCATTATCTCTCGCTTGTCATTATGTATTTTTATATAAATTAATTAATATAGATGATGATTTATGTGTTGGAAGTGTTAGAGCTAATCGACGAAAATAAGAAATAAAAGATATGATTGGCATGTTTGTTAATCTTGTATCATATCGAATGAAAATGGAAGCAAATAATTCATTTGAATATCTTATACGAAAAATACAAGTATTAAGTAGTAATCTTCTAGAACATTCGTATTTACCTTATCAACAGATTATTAAGTCAGAAGATTAACAAAATCATCAAGTATTACCTTCAACATCATTTGATCTTATTTTTACAATATCACATGATTATCATGCACGAACTACAAAGTGTTTTCTTGATTGTTCAATTGATATATCTCAAACTCAAACTAATATCGTTCTACTTGCAAATCATTTTCAACATATGCTCACACAACTTTTCTTTTCTTCAATCATTCATGAACCTATCTATAAATTATCAATTGTTCTTCCAACTGAACAGGAATTTATTCATCAAATAAATAATACAGATATATCTGCATCTTATTCATGGTCTGATACTGTTCATGAATGTTTTATTCAACAAGTTCAATTATATCCACAAAAATTAGCACTTGAACTCGATGGACAATCACTTACTTATAGTGAATTATTATATTTTGTATATTGTTTAACAAATTATTTAACTGATAAAATTCAACCAAATGAAATTATATGTCAATGTGTCGAACGATCTTTTGAAATGATTATTGGGATGTTAGCAATCTTATCAAGTGGTGCAGTCTATTGTCCATTATCACCTCTGGATCCACCAGAATGACTTAAAACTTGCATTCAAGATATATCTGCAAAGACTCTTCTTATTCATGGTTTTACTTGTCAAACAATTCTAATGACTCATACATTATGTAATCTTATTATAACAGATTCATTTACTATTTTCAATCATATTATAAAATCAATATCTGTTACATTTGGTAATATTGCTTATATTATTTTTACAAGTGGAGCAATAGGAATACCTAAAGCAGTTATTATTTCACATTCTTATCTACTTTTATATCTTCAATCTTCTGTTGAAGTTGATGCATTGCGTACAACTGATAGAGCTATACAATTATCATCATGTACTTGGGATGTTCATATTTATGAAATATTTGGTATTCTTCTTATGGGTGGTACTGTTATACTTTTACGTTCAGAACAAGGCAATCGTAATATGGATTATTTATCTCAAGTTATTGAGATTCATCAAGCAACATATGTTTGTATTGTTCCTACATAAAAGCATATTCTCGACTCAATACTCTTCGTTTAATATGGTCTGTCGGTAAGGAATATTATTAATCTTCTTTTATCAAATATTCATTTGTTTATATATATATATGTTCTTGTAGGTGAACCAATCTCATGCCGTTTTATTGCTCGAATTCTACCTATGTTGCCTATTGGATGTCAATATATAAATTTTAGTGGTGCAACAGAAGGTACAGTCATACAAATGTTTCATGTTGTAACAAAAGATAATGGACTATCAGAATCAGGTACAGTTCCATCAGGTCAACCGATGCCTTATTTTCGATGTCATATATTGAATAAATTTCTTCAAATTATACCAATCGGATACATAGGTGAATTTTTTCCAAGTGGACCTATTATGAATAGTTACTTAAACAGGCCTGATCTTAATAGCAAATCATTAGTTCAACTTCCAGATGAATCTGGTAAAAGTTATAGAACAGGTGATTTAGCTCGATTAATACCTTCAACTAGTAAAATTCAATTATTGGGTCGTAATGATTTTCAAGTGAAAGTAAATGGACAACGGGTAGAATTAGAAGAAATTCAAGCAGTTATTTATCAATCTAATCCATCAATTTCTAACTGTGCTGTCGTTAAAGTAGTTGAACGTGGACGAGACCATTTAATTGCATATATACAATTAAAAAAAACATCTAAATCAGTTCCATTTGATGAAAAATTAATTCATACTAGTTGTCAAGATCATTTACCACAATTTATGGTTCCATCTCTTTTTATTCTAGTTGATCAATTACCATTTAATTCTAATGGAAAATTAGATAAAGCAGCACTTCCTAAACCTAATCTATCATCATTACTTTTACCAACACATAATGATGAAATTTCTAATGATCAAGACAATGAAATATCAATGACAAATGAACAACAGCTTGTACATGATCTTTGGTGTGATATATTACAATTGGATGTAGACTCAAAAATACCTATTAACCGTTCATTTTTCTCATTGGGTGGTAATTCATTAGCTATACTGTGTCTCTTTGTGCAATATCAAATAAAATTTTCTCTTGATACAACATCTTCATCATTTAATATTTCTTCTTTATTTCGTCAATCAACTATTGCTGAACATACTCAAATTCTTCAACAATGGCTTAATCATACTTCTTCTCAAACTCATCAACCAACTCAATTATGGTCAACTCTAAATATTTGTCAAGGTAATCTATAATTTTATTTTTCTCTTTCTCTCTCTCTCTATATATATAAAATCTATTGTTTATTTTAGCTGAAGCATCATATGGTCAACAACGTATTTTTGTTGATCAGACTATTCGTTTTTCAAATGAAACATCTGTTTATAATGTTCCTTTAGTTTATCGTATGATATCTAATTCGAATGGTCAACAGATTACAATTGATCGATTACGTCAAGCTATTGATGGAATTATTGCTAAACATGCTATATTTCGAACATCATTAGATTGGAATATAAATACAAATGTTTTAGTTCAATCTATTTAACAATTTAATTATAGAAATCAATTTGAATTCGTAATTAGTTATGCTGAAAATGATGAGGAAATAACAAAAATAACTAATAAAGAAATTACAAGTTCAAAACTATTTGATCTTAATCGAGGCATTGTATTACGATGTCACATAATTAAATATAGTTTTACGAGAAAAGATGAAGAAATATATTTAGAAAGAAATGATATTATTATTTTTAATCTCCATCATATTGCATTTGATGGTGCTTCTCGACGAATATTTTTTAGTGATCTTAAATATAATTTAGAAAATGATAGTACATTATTAAAGAATGAAAATCAATTTCAATACATTGATTATTCAGTTTATGAAAAACAAATGGATATAATATTATCTTATTATTTTTGGCAATCACATCTCGATGGATTGAATTTAGAATGTCGTATTATGTTATCTTTTGATCGACATCGTTTATTGACTGATCAAAATTCAGGTTTAGTTCATCTTATTGGTATTTCATTTGATTATGCTTTTTCACAAGATGTTACGCCATTTCAACTAGGTCTTACCATGTTTTATACATTTTTATATAAATGAAGTCAGAATCAAAATGATCTATGTATTTCATGCATTCATGCTAATAGATATAGAACAGAATTACAAAATCTAATTGGTATGTTTGTTACAAAATTACCACATAGAATTCAAATTCATCCTACTTATTCATTCAATCATCTTATCAAACAAGTTCAAAATGAATTTTATTTAATTCTTGAACATACACATTATCCTCTTCAACAAATACTTCAAAATTTAGATTATAAACATTCATCTGCTGCTTTTCTCAATATATTATTTGATTTCATTACTTATTCAACTCATACTGATCTTCTATCTGTAAATCAAACACAATTTCAACCGATACCATTGAAACAAATGCAAAATGTTGTTAAATTTGATATGAAACTATTATTTTTTCATGATCCAACAGTTACAAATCAAGCAATATCATGTTCTCTCATCTGTTCACAAGATGTCTTTGATATCGAAACAGTAGAAGAACTATCAAAACAATTTCAACATCTTCTTTCACAATTATTTATTAAACATTCATCGTCAACAAACACAACATCTTCTGATTTAGTTAATCAATCAATATCGAAATTATCTTTTTGTCTGGAGAATGTACCTAAAGAAATACAACAAACAATCTTTCATCGATTACCTAATATTAAGAATGAAGGTATGATTATTTGTATAGATTTGTATATTATATAGTCTTTGTTCTGTTAAGGACCAGCTTCTTATGCACAATCTCGTATTTAGTTTGATGAACGAATTCGATTCGATCAAGATAAAACACAAGTTGCAATTAATAATATGCCTTTTCTCTATCGTCTTCATTCAAAACATACATTATCAACTACACAACTTTACCATGCACTTCAACTTATTGTTAAAAAACATCAATCACTTCAAACATCAATTATTTTCGATAATGAAACAAATAAACTTATACAACGAATTATTGATATCAATGATCATACTAGAAAATCATTTACATTTATTGAAAGTACTTTCGAAACAGATGAACAACTTCATACTATTATGTACGATGAGAAATACAATTCTCAACTTTTTCATCTTGATCAAGGTCTTGTCTTTCGATGTCACATTCTCTATTATAAAAAAATTTCTTCAAATAATCTTCTTTGTGATAAAGATAGAATTATTTTTAATTTTCATCATGTTTTATTTGATTTTCTATCAATGAAAATATTTCTTCATGATCTCAATCAAGCATATATATCAAATCAGCTACCTATCAATCAAAATACTGATCTACGTTATCTTGATTGTATATATTTCTCATATTTGTCTTTGTTAATAGATCGATCTTATCTCTTTTTTTTCGTTTTATTTAGATGCTCTTATTGAACAACAGATGCCAATGACTAGTGCAAGTATGTTTTGGCTTGATACTCTTCGTGATTGTAACCTTGATCGATCTTTATCATTACCCTATGATCGACATCGTCTATCAAATGAACATCGAAGTGGTCGTGGAACATCGATATCATTTGATTTTGGTCAGGATCTTTCATTTGATTTTGTTAACTATGCATTAACAAACAATATAGAACTTCAACATCTAGCACTTGCTGCTTATTATACATTTTTATTTAAATTATCTAGTGGAGAACGAGATATATGTATTGGAATGAATACACATACTAGATATAAAGGTGAATTCAAATCAATAATTGGATCATATGAAAATCTTATTCCATTACGATGTCAATTAGATCGTTATGGTTCATTTCATCAACTAGTTGAATATGTTCAAGGAATGGCAACAAATGGTATGAAATATTCATATTTTCCTTTTCAACATATTCTTGCACAACATTCTGATTGTTCAAAGCCTACATTTCTTGATATATCTTTTGATTTTGTTACTATTGAGAAGAAAATAATGATTGGTGATAGTGAACTTTGTAGTCTTCCATTATCAATTACAATGGATGAAGATGAAGATGTGAGCAAGTTTGATTTCATTCTTACTATTCAATATGATCTCAACATAAATCAATTCTCATGTATGATTAATGCGTCACTCGATTTATTCAATCAAGAGGCAATAAATAAGATTTCACAACAATTTCATTCAATATTATATGATCTCTTTACATCTGTCAATGACATAATGAAGAATAAATCAATCTATGAAATATCAATAATGTTATCAAATGAAAGATTACTTATACAATCAATGAACAATACACAAGTATTGTTTTCTTCTGCCACTTGTATGCATCATGAATTTATTTATCAAGTAATACAACATCCACAAAAAATAGCTGTTGAACTTGATGAACAATCATTGACATATACAGAACTTTTATATTATGTTCAACAACTTTCTCTCGTCTTATTAAATAAATACAATGTGAAATCGGGTGATATTATTTGTCAATGTGTAGAGCGAAGTTTATCTATGGTAAATATATTTAGAAAATATGGTTTGCAATAATATGTGTATAATATATCCTTTATTTCTCTTTAGGTCATTGGCATTTTATCAATTATTATGGCTGGTGGTGCCTATTGTCCTTTATCATCACAAGATCCTTCACAACGTCTACAAATTCTTGTGAAAGAAACTCGAAGTCATTTAGTTCTTGTTCATTCGTCTACACGCATTCTTTTTGAAATCGATATTGTAACTTTAAATATTGATACAATTATAAATAATGAAGCAAATTCTACTAGCATTCATCTGACTCAAATGTCAGATGTACCAATAACATCAGAAAATATTCTCTTTGTAATTTTTACTAGTGGATCAACTGGTATTCCGAAAGCGGTTTGTATAAGATCTTGTCTTTTTTGACTATTTGTATTTTTTAATGTATTCATTTTTTAATAGGTTCAACTACGCCATCGAAATTTCACTCAGTTTTTACGCTCATTTGTTTATGTTGATATATTAACAAAAACTGATACAATAATACAGATGGCTCGATGCTCTTTTGATAATCATCT